AAGGTTTGCCTTTTCATTACATTGCAAATAGAGACGCGAATTGCGATTACATTCCCATTGCACTGACTCTTCAATAATAAAGTACTTAAAGCTCGCGACGACAGACACAATCATTAAAACCATAGACCATAGACTGCCATCAGTCCAGACGTTGAGGAATAAAAATAAAAACTTTTATCAGCTTATTTAGTGTCTCTCGATATGTAAAGGACTAACACTTTTCCGATGATCAATATTAGGAGCACTTGTCGTAGCCGTTAGTGTGAACACGATATGTGTTTCACTTTATATATGAGATTCTTGTCATTAGTCGCGAGAAATTCTTGGTGTCAAAGGGGTAGTTGGGTTTCAGTCAATAAATCGTTGACTAATGAAATTATGGACAAGAATTTTGTCTGATTTAAAGGTTGTCGACACAACTCGTTGTCATCACAAGGAGGTCCGCACTCGAAGACCGGCAGCAGTACTGATGTGGCGAACGCCGAGAACGCCAGACGTTGCGTCCAAAATGGCAATATCAGCGGCGCTCAGAGTAGGCCTTCCCTTATAATCCATTCATTTGAATTAAATATTGATTTCGTAAACACACACACACTACTCAATATATCATTACTTTTAGATTGATTTATACGAGAGAGAGAGAGAGAGAGAGAGAGAGAGAGAGAGAGAGAACAATTAATAATATAAAATTCGTCTAAAACTCTGCCCTCTCATCGATAAAAATGTTTTTGATTAGCTTTAGTGCAGTTCTCCCCTCTATTTTTAGACTAAATTTAGTTTTTTAGTTTTTTCCATTTCATTACGAAATTAGATTTTTGTTGTGCTTTCAGTAAAACTTATTCCTAGAATTGATATTTATATTAGATTTACTCCTAATATTCTCGCCATACATTACTCTTAATATTAAATATATTTTGTTGTTTTCTTGAAAAGTGGGAACACTTTATGTCAAAGCGTTTGATGTGATCGACGGTATCGAAGGATCCAATATACCAGACATTGTCGATGAGGGCTGGGATCATAACATAAATCGCGATAAATTTGAAATTATTGATCACAACTCCACACAACTTAACGAATCTCATGTCACCATAGCTTACGAACAGGTATTCATACATTATTCAACAATTTTGTCACAAATATAACACAATTATTGAGTTAAAACTTTAAATCATATGAAATGCATTCAACATTTTAGTTTAATTAATTAATTTTAGTTATTGAATAATACTTTTGCATATTCGTAGCGAAAATGAATGTAAACGAAAAGTTTTTATTATTTTTCTCGTTTGGAAACTAAAAATTTTGTGATAAAAATTCAATTAATTATTTTTGGGCGCAATAAGTATAACAGCAAACAAATTGCTAGTCCATCGGCTAATCTATACAACCGATTAAATAATGATAAACAATGGGTTTGAGTGACACACGAATTCTGCAAACATTTTCTATTTATTATGTGATAAAACCTATTAATTAAGGGCCAGACATATGTCATCCCGAAAATCCCATTCCAGACACCATTTGTTTAGACATCAAAAATAGGATTTCATTGTTAATTAATATTTAATTAATTTTCAGTCAAAACATTAGCAAAACTAAAATAAAGTTTGATTTAAAAGACTGCAAATTCTTACAATCATTAATAGAAACGATGTTTGCATTCAACTATAACCAGAACTCATGCCTAAGAATAGGAATATTCTGATATATTCATGAAATGTCTTAACCATTGATTATCTGCACGACAGAGACGTACGCCCGAAGGGGACGCGTATGTCGAGAGGATAGCCAACGACTGGATAACGAACGGGTCGTCCCTACAGCCGAACGACTACAAGAAACTGAACCGGTACCTAATGCCCCCCAATAACGTCAGTATAGTCGGCGATCAGACGATTGTGATGACCGACGACGAGACCATCAGCTCAGAGACGCCGCTAATGAATGGCATATACTTCACGTCATTCACGTCCAATGTATGCGCGATTCAGACAAACATTTTCATTCATTTATTTCTTGACGCCAAATAAGAAATATAAAATTTGTTTTAATACTTTTTGATGAACTCTTTTGCTGTCCATAGACTCACAACAACGGCGGCCGAACCACTCTCCAGCACAAGACTCAGAGCACACCCCTGTCCACACCCCTCAGTACACCCGTATGACAGACACCGGACACCAGATTATGAGATGAGATGAGATGAGACGGCATTTGTCTTCCAAATCATTTGCAAAACTCTAATATAAAGTGAAGAATTGGTTTTGCTTTTGGAGAGCGGAATCACGTCTTCCTTATTGGGTTTTGAGATATTTATGGTCGCTAACACGGTTTTTAGTAGTTTTTTAAAACGCCTCTAATGTTTACTTTGTTTTAAGAACAAAACATTTATAAGATGCTTTTTTGTTTTTAACGTTTATAGTAGCTTTAGACTGAATCCATTATTGAAATCACTTTTTCATTTGTATTTTGTTCCAGAAATCAATTTTTGAACCCTTTTCTCAAAACAATCACTTTTTTGATAACAAATCATTAAATTTTAAACATTCCTTACGATTTGAATAGATTTTTTTAGTTCATAATTATTCACTCATTGATACATAAGAAATCATTTATGAATTTTTTGTATGATATTTGATTTATTGAACAGTTATTTCCCTTAATTTGCATTCTTTTGTAAATTGAAAAATCAGATGAAATGTGAAATCTTTGGTTATGCAATAAATAATTAAAAAGTTTTGTATATTTTAAGTGCGAAAAAGCGATCGGAATATATAGTGGACTATAATTATGAGCAAAATTCAAAAGATTTAACATTTTTGGCAAAAATCTCTCTCTTGAATAAAAGCAATACTTATTACTATTACTATTAATTATTACATTAATTATTATATAAGAGAATTGTAATGCAATACTTTATGAGCAAAATTCAAAAGATTTAACATTTTTGGCAAAAATCTCTCTCTTGAATAAAAGCAATACTTATTACTATTACTATTAATTATTACATTAATTATTATATAAGAGAATTGTAATGCAATACTAATTATATACAAAAACAAAGAATGATTTTATAAATAATTAAACTATAGATCTATTAATGAAAATAAAAAATATTATATTTATTAAACGGAAATGAAATTTATTTAAATGATAAATACTATGATATTCTGTGAATTATTCTGGATCAATATTAGATAAGGTAGTCACCATCTATGGTGATTCTACACATTCATCATACTCTTACTGTAGTTTAAATTTTTCACTCAAAAGTATTTTAAATAATATATCAATTTATCACTGATTAAGAAAAGTTAGAAATTGTATTCATATTCGTAATCAAATTATTTTATTTTATACACAAAATTAAAAAATAAATTTCATTGAAATGGATAACAAAATAAATCAAAATAATTGATCAAAATTTATCAAATGTTAAACAAACATAAAAATAGACGAAAATGTTTTGAAATTATTTTTGTGATCAGAGTTTCACTCGTCGGGCAGTCCCTGGAAAGGTGTATCCGGTTTCCCCTCGTCTGGAGGGAGGGCTTCAACGGACTCATCGGACTCTTGAGACGAAGTCTTGGTGACGAGCACTGCTGGTCATCACTACTGGTTTGGGAGCAGGAGTTGGAAGGCTTTCCGATTTCGAGGCTCTGGTCACAGACTTGCCATCACTTGTCTTCGTTCCCTCTTCTTTGGGCTTATCCTCTGATTTAGTATTTCTTAGTTTGCTTTCATTGCTATCCATAGGTCTGTCTCTGTCCTCGTGTTTCGTAAAACACGCGTTAATAGTAAACTTATATTTAATTAATAAGGTTTTGGGTATAAATTGATTGATGAATACATTTAATGTATTTCCGTTCAAAATAGTAGAGAATAATGCAGATAATGGTGGCGATGACCACCAGTGCCACCAGTAGTATGACCACCAAAATGGTCCATAAATTTGACTTCTTATTAGGCGTTGTCTGACTCAACACACCGGCGCTCAATTGGATTAGTATTAAAGCCGTCAACAAATGTCTCATCAGAGGACTCATTGTATTCACAGAGATATTCAGTTATATTCACAATTGGATTGTCTTTTATTCATCGGACTCTTGCCACGAAGTCTTGGCGGCACTACTGGTCATCACTACTGGTTTGGGAGCAGGAGTTGAAAGGCTTTCCGATTTCGAGACTCTGGTCACAGACTTGCCATCACTTGTCTTCTTTCCCTCTTCTTTGGGCTTATCCTCTGATTTAGTATTTCTTAGTTTGCTTTCATTGCTATCCAAAGGTCTGTCTCTGTCCTCATGTTTTAATAGTAAACATAATTTTAATTAATAAAGTTTTGGGTATAAATTGATTGTCAATACATTTAATGTATTTCCGTTCAAAATAGTAGAGAATAATGCAGATAATGGTGGCGATCACCAGTGCCACCAGTAGTATGACCACCAAAATGGTCCATAAATTTGACTTCTTATTAGGCGTTGTCTGACTCAACACACCGGCGCTCAATTGGATTAGTATTAAAGCCGTCAACAAATGTCTCATCAGAGGACTCATTGTATTCACAGAGATATTCAGTTATATTCACAATTGGATTGTCTTTTATAGGAATCGTATGAATCGTTATACAAATTGAAAGTTTAGAAAAACCTAATTTCAAACGTTTTTCTCATTTATAAAGGTTTAGTAACTTTTCACGAAACACGAGGTTATCATAACTATCACAAACTTTTCAAAACAAACGTCTCGTTCAGAAAACTTATGATTTAATTGTCAAAAAGAGTTACATTTTGAATGTCATTTGAAAAGTATTGTTAACTCGAATGCAATCGTTTGGAAATTAATACAAAAATCTGTTGCAAAATAGTTATACAAAGAGATAGACTACCAGTGCTTCAAATCGATCATAAGATAAAATGGCACAAATTGGTCACAAAATATCGATACCCATTGATCACACGAATAGACTGAAGTCAGAAGGATATTCATTGGGTAAAGTGCTCGGAGAGGGTAGTTATGGTGTGGTCTGTGATGGTCTCAAAACCAAAGACGGAAAGACAGAGAGCGTCGCCATTAAGATCATTGATTTGTCCAAAACATGAGAAACCTATCGCAAGAAATTTCTGCCCCGAGAACTGTATTCACTGAAGAACTTGAAGCACGAGTTCATAACCGTAGTTATGGACATATTTCTCGTCACTAACACTATGTATATAGTGATGGAAAGGGCTGACGGGGGAGACCTCTTCGATATGGTCACCCGTGAGAAGGACTACGCGAAAGGCATGCCGGAGCCGTTGGCCAAAAGTCTGTACAAAGGCATCGCCACCGCTGTGGAGTACATACACTCGAGGGGTTGGGCGCACCGGGACATCAAGAGTGAGAACATACTTCTCAATAAAGACAGAACCGTCGCAAAGATCACAGACTTTGGTTTTTCGACGTCATGTTTTATGCCATCCACTGGTGAGCGCGTACTGAAGACTACCTTCACCGGTAGCCCATACCATACGGCGCCGGAAATCCTTAAAGCTGATCCGAACGACAGCTCAAAGTCTCTGCCGTACGATGCGTTCAAATCGGACGTGTGGTCAATGGGTGTCGTATTGTTTTTTATTGTCTCAAATGGTTATCCGTTTCATGAGAAACAAGTGCAACGAATGGCACAGCATTCAAAGCAAGAGAAGATAGCATTTCGCACCACAACATCCCTTTCCAACGATTGTCGCGACTTAATCCGCAAACAACTGGATGTCAACCCCAAGAGTCGATTCTCAATGAAACAGGTGTCCGGCCATCAGTGGCTTAAATAGTCTGAAAGCATTTGATTTAGTTTTAGTTGCTTTTAGTCGATATTTTAAAGTCTTAATCGATATTTAGTTCTGCTTTCGGATAATCTCTGTTCACTTGGCTTTCAAAAAGTGACTCAAATATGCATTTATTTTATTGATGTCTCGTTTTCACTATAAAAACAAATATTTTTATATAAATATTTCAAACATTTCTACTTAATTGTGACCAAAAATATGTTTCCATTTAACCATTCATTCCACAAATTATTTGAACAAATATTCATTACTTTTCTATATTTAATGGAATAACCAATCGATTCAGTGTTCATTTAATTGATAAACAAATTTTCAGTCAATTATTTATTTATTTATAATTAAGTTATATTTCTAGTCATATAAAGTTTTGGTAAAGTTTTTGAATTGTTTTTCCAGTTTAATTTTAAATATAATTTAATTATAAGATTATATAATAAATGTTTGAATTTATATATTACTTTATTATAACTTATTAAATATTATTTATATGTTATTCTTAACATTATTTATAATAAAATTGCATTTAATTTACAATTTATAAGCATTTTATTGTAATTTTACGGATTGAGTGAACAGTAAGTGATTTGTATGACTCTTTGCCACGAATACCTTAGCCGACAAACCATTCCTCTTTCCATGAGACCAACAATCACGAGATGTGTCCCATTCCGGAGACATTACAACCACTCTTTGAAGACTTCTTCTGATGTCTTCTCGCATCGATCGCCACCTCCTGTGCCCTCCGAACCTCGGGTCAGTCGGACTGTCCAGACTCCCAGCACCTGAAGTCAGTGATTACTCGGACTATCCGGACCAGTGGTCTGTCCGAACTCCCAGCACCAGTAGTCACTGACTTCCCGGACTGTCTAGACTCCCAACACCCCTGACCCACACCCACCCTTTCCCTCGGAGGGCACTCCTCACGGCTAGACCCCTCGTGTATTCAATCGCTTGAATGCCATTTCCTTCACAATGTCATCTATGTGTCGAACACCAGTCCTTTCACTTCTGACATCCCATTCCCTACACAACCAATTTCTCCACAAATATTCCATAACTTGTGGTCATCTGAAGAAAGTGTTGTCTCCAGAAGTAGTGGTCATTCCCGAAGACATTTGTGTTTTACTTTTACTCGAACTTCACTTCTAATGGATTTGAAAACATTTCAATTGTTTAAAAAAATTGATTTTAAAACATCTATTGTTTTCTACTTTTGATTGTTTTGCAAATTTATACTCAATTCATAAATATTGTATAATTTAGTATCTCATTTAATAATTATTATATTTATAATTAAATTCAATTGTTTTCAATGTTTTGGTTTAATAAATTTAAAATAACAAATATATTCTTTAACACAATACACAAACAAATATCTCAATTAATCCTTGCGTTAGTTTTTATGGAGGAATTCATTGCAAATACTGTTTACTAATTTTTAAAGTGATTTTATTTGTTAAAACTGTGAACAATTTAGATTTAATAGACATTGAATTATATTCCTGTATTAGTATAACAAAAATAACCCAGCTATTTAATATTGATGGTGATATCGGCACAGAATATTTCAGTGGCACCGGAATCGCATATTAGTTTCCAACGAGTCAGCCGTTCCCCCTTTTAAAACATTTACAATACAGTAGTTATTAATTAGCTATTAAATGAAATTTAATATAAATTATTTGATTCACTGCTTAA